AAATAATCATTACCTTAATAACAATTTAATAGATTTATTCAACTGAAACAATAACATTACAGCATATGTTCTTTGCTTAAACAAACATCCATGTTTGTTAACTAATTTGGCTAAACAAAATATATATATTTTAAGAAACAGACTGTCAGCCCCTTCCTCCTCACACTTCGTTTCACTTTCTTCTTGTGCAGATCTATTCCACTCCAAACAATCAGAAAAATATTGTTTTTATTCTATTCACTGAACTTCTTGAAATTTAGCACTGAAGGGGTTGATTCTGTATTCATAGGTTGGTAGAAGTTAGGATTAAGGTCTTTTTCCTAACTCTGTTCATGTTATAACATTTTTGCTGTGAAGAAGAGGCATGTGATCTCCGCTGAGTCACATTCAGTTTTGAGAACTGAAAAAGTAAACCAAGCATCTGTGATAATATCTTGTAGGCAGAGAAACTGCCTAATAATCTTACAAAAACCTCTGAAAGACATGACATTGTGAATGGATTCATGGAAGGGTTTGCTATTGTACAATAAAAAAATTACCAAAAAAACTAAACATATACAGCCTTATTCTACATAATTAAAAAATTAATCTTTATTTCATGAAGGAATAACCTTTGGATGGTAATATATTTTCCTCAAAAAGCATGTTATTTAAAAAAATCTGATTTAAATAAAAATCCAATTTAAATTTAAAAAATCCGATTTATTTATTTATTTATTTTTTAAATCATTGATTTTTATCCACCCTGGTCTATCTTCACTTTTGCAGCAGTTGTTTTCATATTCCGGGTCACAATCCTGCACAGTGTCCTTTTTGTCTCGGTCAGTTGACCATCAGATGACGTTTTACTGGATATTCCATCATTACCTTTGATACTGTACTGCGTGAGACAGCAAATAAATTGGCTACGTCAGTCACAGAGGCACCAGCTAAGCAAGCACCAACAATTTGTCCTCTTTGAAGCTCAGTAAGCTCTGACAAGACTCCGTAATACTAGCAGTACACGCAGTGAATCGTCCCGTTCACACATGCAGATCATGTAGTGTTTCCATTTTTTTGTCTAAACCCTGTATAATTTGAGTACAAAATTCTTATGCATTGACATTTAGTAGTCCACATAGCACATGCATTTCTGACGCACCCATGATGTGATAGTGATAGGCTAATTTGAGCAGCTTATTCAATAAGAACACAAAGGTAAAAACTCTTGGTATACGTGTCAGTGAATTTCATGTTTTCCTAGGCCTTTTCCCAAAGTTCTCTCCTATATATGTGGTCAGATTTCAGAGTTATGCTCACAATAGGTTTGTAGGAGGTCAATATTGATACACTTTATAAGAATTCTATGAAGAAAGTGTACAGTGCAGTTTTTTTTGCAGCTTTCCACTATTTTTTTTTTTTTTTTAAATGTCACTTACATGCAGCACTTTTCAGTGCAGGTAAATGATTAACAGAATGGAGAATTCTATATGTATGAGTATTTGTGTGCATAAGCTTCTCCCACAACTACCTGCTTATGGAGCACCCCTTAATTTTAGCATCTGCTTTGCCAGGCTTTACTGTTATGGCAGAACGGTGGGACATTGTGATCAGCCCAGACACCACCCACCAGTTGCCACGGTGCCCCTGTCCCCTTCCCTGGCATTCTTATTGGTCCTTGACTATATTTGGCTGCCACAGTATCCAATAGGAATTTACAGAAGGAAAGGAAGGACAGAAATTGCATGCCATAATGGTACCAGCTTTGTGGGGACAGCATTTTGACGGCTGCTGCAGGTATGTGCCCTCTGTGGGCCTGTATTAAAAAAATGCTTTCAGGTAATAAACAACTAAGTTGCTTTAAGTCAGGCATTTTGATACCCATCAACCAGCCAATCAGGCAGTACCCAATGTGCATTTAAAAAGTTTTTTATATTGTGAGTGCACATCAGTCTTGTTTGCAAGCGCTACTCGTTCACATATAAGATTTCTGAAGTTTCATTGTTTTTTTACATAAATGATCCAACATTTTATATCTACGTGTTTTATTGGTTTGAAAATATCTCAATTCTCCAACTGCTGCTCTTGCTGGACAGTGTGGTCTGTTAATGGAAGCTGAAAATCAAACTTACTGGCAGGATCACCACATGAAAATATAGGAGGAAAAAAACCTTAAAAGAGAAAAATGGGCAAATTGTTTTTGGCGATACTTGTGGGTCACAAGAATGCACTCCTGGGACCCAGTCAGCTGATAGCTTGTTTGTTGCTTGCTCTCAGCTGACATGGCAAATCCACTCCAGGTTCTGGAATGATCCTGACCACATTGTCGGGATCCACCCAGCTGCTCGATTAACAGCGTGTAGCTGAGAGCCAAAGACAGCTGCACCTGCCCCCTCTCCAGCTCTCAGCTCTGAGCTGACCAATGACTGAGTGATCAGCAGTCATGTGATCACACAGTTCATGATCTTAGAGCTGATGTGGGACAGCTGCAGCAGGGAGATTTTTTATTTTTTTTTAATGTCCCAAATCTCTCCTATCCTCTTAGTATGACCATCACATTAGGTATTGGTAAGATGCCATATGTTACGTTTTTTGCTTTTGGGTTTACAGCTCTGTCCAGATGTGGTCATTAAAGTGATATTAAAGGTTCAGATTTTGTTTTTGTAAAAATAACATACATGTCATACTTACCCATGCCTGGCTCCTCCCCATTGACCAGTGCTCCCAATAGCAAACCGCTTGCTATAGGGACACTGGTGTGTGCGCTCTCTTGAGCCCGGCTTTATGCATCCACAATACCACATTAGCACAGTGTGTAGGTCTATATTACTACTTTGCTCATGTTGCTGCACTCCAACAATCCATAGATAACTGTTCTGGATGTTTAGTGTGAAATAATCACTTTAGCTTTCTTCATTCTTCTTTCCCGAATTACAATGTAGGTAGCCCATAGAAAAATGTGGGATATAAACTTCATTGTATCCAGAAAAATGTGTAAAATTCCACTTCGCCTGTGACTGGGAAAGAGGGAGCAATATAGTGCTTACAAAAGCCATTATACACAAATGCTGTTAGGATATAAAGAGTAGCATCAGCCACAAAAGGCAAGTTTTTGGACAACCTCCCTGACTGAAACTCGATTATTTATTATATATATATATATATTTATTAGTATTTAAACCACCAGCGCTACTCAAAATAAAGATAAATATAAAGATCAGGAAGCTGCTATCACTTGGCTATATACCTGAATAAGTTGCAAACATATAAAAGAAAATGGTGTTGCGTTTCCTTACACAGTGCCTAAATACACTTATATACCATAATTAGTGCATAAATATAAATCTTAAATTCTAACAAAGAAATATACACATCAAAAAAGGACAATATTGTGATAATATGCAAAAAAATATATATAAATGTGTAAATGAGAAATAGACATCACACACTGGAGAAAATAGTGAGACAATCTACATGCATCCCTTATACAGGGAAAAAAGTGACATAAATCACAAATAAGCACAGTGAAAATGGTATAAAATATACCTGAAACAGGGCCGTGACCAGAAGACTCAAAACACACAAAGTCCTTCCGCATAAATGTGTTACAAAATGTTTTCAGTGACCAAAATAAACAATATATGACTCGTGATCAAATCCCTAATTGGGACTTATTTGTGTGAACACAAATACATAAACAGTGTCAAAACAATATATCACAATGTGCTGCAAAAAACAAAAACAAAAAACCCTACTAGCCACGTAATGCCACAAATATTGTGCCACTAAATAATATATTAATGATGAGCAACAAATGTCCCCATGTGAACTCTTCAAAGTGGAAAAAATTCCACGGTGATATAGGTGAAAAAATTTGGGATCTGTCAAAGGCTGGATTGCCCTCTCACCTCCATACAGCAACCCCCAAAGGGCCAATAAGCCTCCACACTATAAGGTACAGCAATACGGCCAATCGGCATAAACAAATGCGGATTAGCAGTAGTGGTGGTATCCCCCTTATGGAACAATAGGTATGACCAATCCTGATATCCAAACTTCTTTTAGGCAGGATGATAAAATCAGCCAACTCACATATATATTGGAAAGAAGAAAATAAATCCTCCCATAGTGTAATACTGTATGTTTATTTTAAAAGTCATAAACCAGCAAATTGCTCACGTACATTTCCATTGATAAAAACAAGCTTACAAAGCCTCATGTGTAAAATGCTGGGTGTACCAAGATGGCGCTTACACTGGAAGTGACGTCACCACGTCTCCGTAATCGTCCGCGTTGTGTCACGTATCACGTGACTTCCTCAGGACTGAAACTCTCTAAAATATGTATATGATTTTTATGTAGGTGATTGCATTTGAGTTCTATAAATCTAATTAAAAGTTTGTATTTTTAAAAGGTACTTTGTTTTCAGGTTTGTACTACAATGCAGTATTCGCCCTGTCTAGAAAAGAAAAAAAAAAAAAAATTGGCTATGCCGCACCAACAAGTAAATCTAACTAATATGTGGCACACAAACCTACACCATGTATACACACTTGCCTTTCTTCTGGGCAAGGCCCAACCTGTAGTCTTGAATTAGTATACAGACATACATGTACATACGATATACTGTACATGTACTGAAGGTAGCAAATCATTGCAGTATTTCAGGAGATCACAAAGGAATCCAATCATGGTTGCCAGACCTTTAAAACGACTTCCTGCAGGCTCAATGTCGGCATGTTATCAAATACTTAGGACGTTCCATGTTCATGTGGCAAAATACTTGAGTAAGGAGGTTAACATTTTTCCCATTTAAGAGCTCACCTCACTGCAGATAATTTCCAGCCCCCAGTTAATTTAGGTAACCGTCTATTAAAGCTTTTGTTCTTTGGTTTTGTAAAAGGTTTCCTTTTGATATTTTTCTTCCTGCAACTGATTACAGTATAACCGTAATATACTATTCATGTACTTTCCGTGTAAGTCATGACAGTGTTGGTCATTTTCACTGATGTGATTTTTTTGCAGCGGTGAGGCCGAATAGGAGCGGTACAGTGGGCAAAAAGAGCAAGAAGGTATCTGATGAATCCTCTTCCTCAGAGGAAGAAGAATATGTGGTAGAGAAAGTACTTGATCGCAGAATGGTGAAAGGACAAGTGGAATACCTACTTAAATGGAAAGGCTTTTCTGAGTAAGTAAGCTTTATCAGTTCAGTGTTGTTATCTCCAGTAGGACTTTTTATTGTATTTTAGTTATAGGCTTGGTAATACTGACCTTTTCTACTTACCCAGAAATTTTTTTTAATACAATAGTATGGTATATATTTCATTGAAGTACCAATGGCTCTCACTACTGTCTCAGTCAATGTGGAGGGAGAGTCCTTGGACAGCCGAAGCTCTCTTGCACATCACTGGATTGCCATGGGGCTCAGGAAAATATTTAGGGGGGGGGCTGCTGCACACAGAACATTTTTTACCTTCATACATAAAATGCATGAAAGTAAAAAACCATTAGCCTTTACAACCACCTTGAAGCAGAGTTCCACCTGAAAAAATAAAAAACAAAAGTCAGCAGCTACAAAAACTAGCTGCTGCCTTTTAAAATACAGACACTTACCTGTCCCTCGGTCCAGTGGTGTCCTCATTACGGCTGCTTCACGGCTTCACGGGCTGTCTTCTCTTCCTGGCACCGGCATCTTCAGTGTGGGCACCCGGCTGTGACAGCTTGCAGCTTCACAGCCGGGTGCCCACTGCGCATGTGTGGGAAGCATTGCACTTTGTGAATGGCCCCGTAGTCTTCTGGGACCTGTCACGTGTCCCACAAGACTACGGGGAGGGGACAATTTCTGCTTTTGATTGCCTAGGCAATCGCAGGGGAAGTGAGTGCGGCTGCCAATCCTTAATGGGGAGTGGGTGACAAAGGCTTAAAGCGGAATTTCCCCTTTTGGGTGAGCTCCGCTTTAACTAAACATACAAGCAGTTTACTTTAAAGCTGAACATATAAGTGAAAACATTGAGGTAAAGTAAATCTCCATATTGGGGGTGCAACAATAAAGGGTTCAGTCACAGCAGTGCACAGGTCTGTACACTGACAGTTCAGCATATTTCTGCACCCACTGTTTGGCTGCAGCTGTGTGCACATCAGAGCGGTCACGTGCCTACAAGATGGATAAGCTGCTCTGGAATTAGATAGTTTGCAGTTGTACACAAATACCAGGTGCAGAAAAACCCTGAATTCTATTAGTGTGCAACCCTCAGGGCCTGTATGAATGAGCCCTAAAGGTATCGTGATACCTATAAAAAAAAAATTATAGGTACCGGTGTTTCTATTGGCAACATGTATTTCTATGTCCTTTTCCAGGTAACACTAGTCACCAGAACAGTGAAAGAGATATCGGTAAATACTGCTAAGTAGTCCATACCCCTGCAACATTTCAGCTATATTTTTTATATTCCTACACATTTAAAGTGTATGTAAAGACAAAAAAATGCAGTACATCTCTGCAATACCTGCACATTTTCCCATGTTCTGTCCCTTTTTAAAGACCATCCAAGTACCGGAAAATACCCATTGCCCTGTACTCAGCTCCCAAGTCCTGTTGTGGGTTAATAACACTACAACCCATAAAAATGCTGCATGTTGTCAAACCAGCTCTGTGTCATTTGCTAAACTACTCAACCACTCATCCTATCAGATCTCAGCAACATAAACGATAACCAGTCTGTAGTCCAAGTGAGAACTAGGAGGGCTATTTGAGATAGCACATAAAATGTGCAGAGAACACAGTACAACTCAGAATGTCTCTCTTAGAGAAGTGTGTGTGTGTCTGTGTGTTTTTCCTTTTGCACTTCTACAGCTGGAAGTCTTTTGTTATACTTGAATGGAGCATATAAGAGAAGTTCATTTTTAGGGTTTACATGCAATTTAAATGTTCCAAAATGTGTAGACAAAATAAAATTAATATTTTCTATGTAGGCTGATGTTTTCAGTTTTCTTTCAAAGTAAAGTGACAGTTGAAGGTTGAAGTTTAGATTGAGCAATTCTGAGCATTTTGTCTAATTCTTGAAAGGCCGAAAAGATTGTTAGCCAGTTGTGGTAAATGTATATTATGGCACTGGTGTATTTGGAGACTAGTTCATGGTGCATTTTTTTCCCAGCCCTCAAGTCATCTTTTATTGATATTGCCTTATAAAAATGTTACTATAAAGACATTTAACATTTTTGTACTCTTGTTTAAGAGAGCACAATACATGGGAGCCAGAGGGGAATCTGGATTGTCCTGAGTTGATTTCTGAGTTCATGAAAAAATACAAAAAACCCAAAGAGGGAGAACCCAAACCCAAGACAGAAACCACCAAAAGAAAAGCTGGGAATGAAGAAATTAAGGCCAAAAAAAGGAGAGAGGTAAGGCTAACCTCTTTCAGTAGCCACAGATTCTATTCCCATGCCAAAGGATGCTTCCCTAAGTATTTTTCCAGTGTCTGCACCCTTTGCATCTGTGTTGGGGGGTCTGTGATGTGATGGGGGCTTTCACATGAAAGGGGGCTTTTGATGTTAAGTTATTTTTATAATTTTCTCCCATACTTTAAAAGCCCTCACTTTACTCCACCAACCTGAACAACCGAAGTCCCATCTCCTTGCTCCAGTTTACCTCTAAACACTTAGTCTACAATCATCTGAGTTCCTACCTCACTGTCAACAACCTTCTTGATCCATTACAGTCTGGCTTTCGCTTACTACACTCCACTGAAACTGCCCTACTAAAACTCACTAATGATTTACTAACTGCTAAAACCAATGGCCACTACTCCATACTCTTACTACTAGCCCTCTCTGCGGCCTTTGACACTGTTCACCATCTCTTGCTCCTCAAAAAACTCAACTCTGTTGGCATTCGAGACTCTGCTCTCTCCTGGTTCACCTCCTACCCATCACAACGCTCCTTCAGCGTTGCCTAGAACTCTGTCTTCTCCTCTCCGCTTCCTCTTTTTGTAGGAGTTCCCCAAGGTTCTGTCCTTGGACCTGTTCTTTTCTCCACCCTACACATCTTCCCTTGGTCACTTGATAAACTCCCATGGCTTCCAGTAGCATCTCTATGCTAATGTCAGCATGTATGTCACACCACTTCCCTAAACTCAATCTTTCTAAAACTGAGCTCATGAATGATATTCAAGATCGATAAAACCATCAGTTTCTCCCCCCATGCCAGGGAGCTAGTTGTGATCATGGACTCTGGATTTGAGGCTGAAAGGATAGGTCAATCACTGTCCAAATCGTGTAGATTTCACCTCCATAACATCTCCATAATATGCCCTTTTTTAACCAGTGAAACCACCAAGCAACTTATTCTCTCCCTGGTTATCTCTAGCCTTGACTATTGTAACGCCCTCCTCATTGACCTACCTAATCACAGGCTATCCCTTCTGCAGTCTATCATGAATGCTGCTGCCAGATTCATCCACTTTACCAACTATTCTATGTCCCCCACCCCTCTCTGCCAATCTCTCAATGGGCTTCCCATTGCCCAATGAATAAAATTTTAAAAATTAGCAATTGCACATAAAGCCATTTACAACTCTGCCCCAAACTACATAACCAATCTTGTCTCTAAATATTACCCAAACCATCTTCTCTGCTCCTCCCAAGACCTCCTACTCTCAGGCTCCCTTGTCTCCTTCTCTCTTGCTTGTCTCTAAGACTTCTCCAGAGCCTCTTCCATCCTCTGGAACTCTTTACCCCAATCTATCACCTACTCTGTCCACTTTTAGGCGATCCCTGAAAACCTATCTTGTCAGGGAAGCCTATCCTGCCTTCAGCTAATAACCAATTCCTCTATTTCTCCCATCAGTTCATCCCCCACAGTTATTACCTTTTTTTCCACAAGCCCCTCCATATTAGATTGTAAGCTCCCAGGAGCAGGGCCCTCCTAACCCTCTTGTATTGAATTGTATCATTACTGTATTGTCTCCCTTCATATTGTAAAGTGCTGAGCAAACTGTTAATGCTATATAAATCCTGTATAATAATAATCAAGGTGGTCATGTGCATGGTCCCCAGTCTCTTGTTTACCTTGCTTGTAAGAAGCATCTTCTATGCGTGCCTTTTGATGGTAAAATCAGTAAGGAGAATTCCATTATAAATTCATCAGGAGAGTCACTGGGGAACAGTGTTGCTACCCAGAAGAAAAAGTCTTACTACTGCTCAGAGAAAGGGATCATTTTGCTCCCCCCAGGCATCAACCTCAAAACCAAGGCTTGGCACTCCCTTTTGTTGTAAGTGCTGGATTTCTAAGTCCACCAAGCTTGCCCAGAAGCCCTTCTCACAGTCAAGAGGTGTCCTTAGTCTGCAGACTAGGGAGACGTCTGTGGACGTTTACACAAGTATGAATACTATCTGTCATTTCAAAGGGATACAAAATACAGTTTCTACCTTTGTCAGTCCTCACTTTTTACATTCAATCCGTCTGCTTCAAACTAAAGAAGAGTAGATTTAATGACTTCCTTGCCCCTTCAGGTACAAGCAGTGGCTGTACCACTTCCTTAAGAAGAATGGTTTCAAGGTTTCTGTTCAAATCTATTCACAGCCCCTAAACCAGAGAGGCATGTCTGCCCAATACTGAACTTAAAATCACTAACCGATTTCTTCATGTACCTAAATTCTAGATTGAATCAACAAGTGCTTTCCTTGTGTTTATCTGACAAGGGGAATTAAGTCATAAGTAGACATACAAGATGCCTCTCTGCTCATCCCCACTTCCCCTCACATCAAAGCTTTCTTGGTTTTGCTGTGGAAGAGCAATACTTCCAATTTGTAGCACTAACATTGGAGCTTTCCTCTGCAAGTGTTCACCAAAGTGCTTGCCTCACTTCTTGCTTTTGTGGATCCAGGGCATTTTAGATTTTTTTTCATTTGACAGCCTAGCTCGTGAGGGGAACATCCTAAGTGCCAGAGGGTGTTCAGAGAGGGTAATTTGTGCCAAAGTCTGGAAAATGCGGTTGACCAAGTGCTTGGCTCAAAGTACATTAACACACCGGGTACACACAAAAAGGTTGTTTTTTTTTTTTTTTTTTTTTTTTTTCAATGCAGGGGGCTGAACAGAAAAAAAAACCCTACAAATCACAGTATTAACACATCCAAGGTTAGTGCGGCCATCTCCCCACTGAGCTATTGTGTTTTGACAGGGATTCTGCCCATGCTGGTTTTCCAGCATGCTCATTCGACACGACACGACCAGCTTCTGTCAGATGAGAGTCTGTACACACGGGCTGAAATCAGTTGGTTCCTGCCAAACCGACCGTTTTTGGCCCATGTGTACTCGGCTAAAGAGCACAGATTTCTGTTAATTCTGTGTTTAGTTACAAAATTCTCTGAAGATTTGCTGTAAAAAAGTGACTAGTAAGAGAACAGAGTACTCTCATTGCTTCAAAGATTGTAGCCCTTATCGGACCTCTTAAAAGTATAAGGAGATTACCACTACCCCTTTTTGAAGCAATTCTGAAAACCTAAGAAGTTCTTGATATTAGGTTGTCTCTTAGTTACATCAATGAGGAGAACAGGAAATGTACAAACACTATCCTTTAAAGAACCACATTTGACAGTTATTTCAAATAGTGGTTCTATGGCCATATCCAAGTACTCCCCTAAGGGAGTCCATAGACGAGTCAAAAACTGAAAGTTCTTTAGATCTAAAAATGAAAATAGCTCATACGTTTTTGTGTCAACAATTCCTTTGTTTTTCTAAAAGAAAAACCTAGCATGTTGGATCAGGTGCTTTTGATGTTGGCACAAAAATCACGTGTCGCAGCTGGGCACACTAATGATGCAAAAAGCAAACGAATCGACACAAATTTCATTTGTCTGGCTCAGCGATCCTCTTGGTATGTCCAGCCACGACTGTTTCTTTTAGTCCCACGTAGAAGATTGTTTAGTGTTGGTTTTTAATGTAACTATTTTATATTCATTCAATACTACACTATACATGATCCTCTGGGCTCCGTGTGGTGAGCGTTTTCCTTTAGGCTCCTAGTCGTGCCATCAGCGGTATTGAGGAGTGAGAGACGGAGGTTCCCTATTTGTTGAACTACGGCTATTGATCAGTTGGCTTTCTGGTGAGTACATGGAGGTGGAGGACCTTGCACAGGAGAGGAGCACTGTTTTGGATTCGGCACTTTTTTGAAATTATTTCACTGGAGATTTCTATAGGACTGTTATCAAAGGGATTTTGTTATATCACTGCACTTGGCAATTTAATGAGCACTATTTGTATATTTAAATTGATTTTATCATTTTATTTATTTATTTTGGTAAGCATTTATTTGTTTGTACATTCTTGATATACGTTTTATGCGCTGCACTGTTCTGTTTTATTGACCAAGAAATGTATTACACCTGCAAAAAAACAATTATTGATTTGAATAGTTTTTTAATCAAAGGTCAGTCCCTCAAAGCCCCTTTCATACAGCCATTCTGATCCTGTCTGTTTTTCAGGCAAACCTGATCAGAAGGTCTATGCAGCCCCATAGATAGATAGGCATATGTAAATGAACTGCACAGTGAATAAATAGATAGAAGTCTCTACATAGAGGCATCTACTCATTCACAAATTGAAGCACAGTAAACACTGTTTACTATGATTCTTTCAGAAACTGAAACTTAGTAAACAAAGTTTTTACTATGCTCCAGTGATGAATGAACACAGAAGCAATAGTTACCGGTCGATGACTGTGTTCATTCAGGAAAGGAAGAGGGCTGGTAAAGTCTTGTTTACCCCACCCCAGGGGGGTTGGAGCAGAACTCTGATCAGCAGATTTTTGAGGCTACTGAGCAGTTCTGCTATAAGTTCATGATCACTGAAGTGACCATGAGCTTATGGCAGAAAGAGGAATGGCAGGTCCTTACAGCGTACGGACCTAGCCAGCTGGAAGTGGTGCTGTAGATCCGTATGCTGTACAGACCTGGCAGCAAAAGGGTTAAAGGTGTAATTATTATTTTTTTCTTTTAAGCTTGCATTATTTAGTCAATTTTTATTTCAATTAGGTAATTTTTCTGTCATTTTCAGTGTTTTTTTTATTTCCTTTTTACATTGTGATAACTTTACATGGTTTACATGAACACATTGTTTAGACCTGATACTATGTCATTTTGTATCTCTAATGTAGAAAAATGTTTTTATGGTGAGCAGGCATTGTATTTTAAGAGTGAAGAGTTTTTTCTGTTTTGCCTAGAGCAATGATATTGCCCGTGGTTTTGAAAGGGGTCTTGAGCCTGAGAAGATCATTGGTGCTACAGATTCTTGTGGAGAGCTTATGTTTCTCATGAAATGGTAGGTACCCGTTTATATTTACTTCATTCAATGTTACTTTATGGTTTAGCGAGAAGTTAAGATAGAAAGATAGTATGACTGAGATGCACAAGTACTGTAAGTCCAAACTAGTCTGAGCAGATTGGGAAAAATAATGAATTGTAGCAAACGAAGGTTAGATCTTGCTCTTCCTCCGCTATAAGGAACCATTCTAAAGCATATTTAAAAAGGTTAATGGTCATGGGAGTGTTTTAAAATGTCCACTTGCTTAGGCCAGCCATAGACGAGTTGAAAACTGAATGTTCTGCCGAAACAAAAATGGTGCATATGAATGTGCTATCATTTGTTTCATTTTTCTAAACAAAATCCAGCATGTTGGATCAGGCACTTTCAACTGCAACAAGAAAATCACATGTTGCAGCTGGCGCACTAATAATGGGAAAAAATAAAAAAAAAACACCCAAGAATTTTTGGCTTTTGACTTATCTGTGCCCTGCTTTAGAGTGTTTAAATGACATGATGTCAGTCAGCGGATTGGTGATATGTGGAAAGATTTGGGTATCCTAGGATTAAAAGAAAAACTAAGTCTAGGTTCACACCTATGCAGGTTGCGTTTTGGGTTTTTGTCACGTTTTTCATTTGCTTTGCGTTTTTTTTTTTTTTTCTAGGCAGATTTTAAACCCAAAACACGGCAAAAATGCAATACATGCTTTTCTGCAGCGTTCCCATTGAAGTCTGTAGAACAAAAAACGCAACATTTTGCATTCACAAAAAGTCCCTGACCCTTTCCATAAAACTCACCGGGTGAAAACTCAGATGTGAACCTGTCCCATAGGAAATCATGTTAAAAAGACTGTACTGCATTTCTGCAAAAACGCTGCTGAAAACGCTTAGGTGTGAACTTAGGGTAAACAAGATAGTACAGAGAGTTTCTTGTCAGTTCAGCTGCAACTGGCTAATCATATGTGTTTCTAGAAGAACTGAGTAACTAAATGAATTATTACAGTTGGAAGCTGGAATAATAAAAGTTGGATACCCAGGAAATGTGTATATGTACTCCCATGGTCATTTTGTACCTAGTACACTAAGGATTTTATTATATGGTAAATGTTATGTTAATACTGCATCAGTAACACAAGTTTTCTTCCATAGGAAAGATTCTGATGAAGCTGATCTGGTGCTAGCAAAAGAAGCCAATGTGAAATGTCCACAAATAGTTATTGCATTTTATGAGGAGAGATTGACGTGGCATGCCTATCCAGAGGATACAGAAAGCAAAGAAAAGGAAGCTGTGAAAAGCTAAAATCTTTTTATATCTGTATATAATATACCTCCCCTCATTAATACACACATACCATCACCCCACACATCTTCTCTGTTTTGATCCAAACATTGTCAAGATGGGGAGGGTTTTTTTTTTTTTTTTTTTTTTTACTTTTCCATATAACTCTTTTGCCCAGAATCACTCCAGTGGTGACATTTGCACAAAATCTGATTGCCATGAATACCAAGAGATTAACAGCCATGGCATGTTCACCACTCTGGGAAGGATGCATTGTAGACATTGTGTGCTGCTACACTTTCTCCAGTTTTTAAATGAACATGAGAAATATCTACAAGGGTGGGTTAAGAGTTGATAGTGAATGGTTACATGTGTTCAGTGTCTGGTCAGTTCTTTCTGGATCAGATGTGAAAACCTCCCTCTGTTACCACTGATCAGTTGTGTACTGTGAAGGGAACCTTGCTGCTTGCTTGCATTCTCGGATGCTTGCTCTCTGAGGGAGAGGACTGTTTTTATTGTTTGAATTATTTTTAAATATCTCTGTACTCTTATGTAGGGTTCTTGCATTCACATATTTTATAACCGAATATATTTGCTGAAAACAGTTGCAAATAGCTGTGCCCCTCAGAGGGAAACTTTTGTATATACATATCCATAGTGTCAGCGACAAGCACTTTGAGAAAAATGCAGCGTGTTTGCAGGTCCCATCTCCTGCACCAGGAAGAAGACCTCAAATGTGGAGTGACTTTGTGGCTTTTGTATGTGTGCTTCATTCCGTGTGCCATATATTGTGACTGGATATCATGCCTTTAACAGTCTTGTGTTTTGGGAGAAAACAATGCCACAGAGTATTGACTTCCATGTAGATGTAATGATATTTATTAGGCTTTTTATGGATATAATTCCACTCTCATAACCTGCAACACTTTGTTTTTTAATACGGTTTTAAAGTATTCATGGAAATATAAAGTATATTTCCTTCATGTTGCAAAAAATGTAAATTTATGTGTTACAAGTAAGGTTTTAAAATGTGTACCAAAAGTGTCACAAATGCTCCATTATCTATTGTAGCTGCTGTGGAAGCAAGACAGGTTCACGATCATGGTATTTATGTAGCATATATGAACATGAATACATGTTTTATCAACATGATATAAAATGTAAGCTATAGTATGAAACCAACCTCCCTAAACAGGTTACTTATGAAATTAGGATAAGCATGAACATAACACAGTGCAATGAACAGTGATGATGTACAGTAACCCACAGCAAGCAGATTACCCATGCCTTTGGTTTAGAACACTCCAAGCAGTGATGGAAAATTAGCTGATGCACGTCACTGTACATTGTGCTCTTGGTTTCAATAAATAAGAACAAAAGTCTGGAAAAAGCACCTGAGATCAGTAGTGGAAAATCCTGGGAGCCAACATTTTTTGAGCCATTCCTGCTGATAGTGTCAGCATATTTTCAGAATGTACAGGCTCCCGAGTTCTTGAGAAGATGTCCACCCCTGCTGAAACAGTATGTGGATTATAACACCTTGTTTAAGATTGAAAGAATTGTGACTAATCCAAGAAGATTTTAATAGTTGTAGTATTTGCATTAATTTTGTTCTGTTTTATATTGCCTATTAGTGTATGTTCTTTTCAATTCATTTACATTGAATGTATTCTTTGGAGAATACGTACATTTTAAAGGAAAAGTTCACCTTTCATAACATGTTACATATGACACCCATATTCAGGGTGTAACATGTTCTGAATGGACCAGCCCCTGCTTCCCCACTTTGACAGCTAACAGGGGATCTTCTCCCCCCCCCCCCCCCCCCATCTGTCAAAAATGTTTTTTAAAACGTGGTCGTGCTGGGCTCCTGGTCACTGGTGCAATGCTTTACAGGCTCCCAAAACAAAAATAATAAATACACATTTTTTTACCTGCAAAAAAATGTGAATTTATTATTTTTTGTCAAAAGGTGAACGTATCCTTTAAAGGGTTTTAGACACTATTTTAAAGGTGGTAAAGTGACAGCAGGTGCCTGCACATACAGGTGAAACTTGAAAAATTAGAATATCGAGCAATAGTTCATTTATTTCAGTAATGCAACTTAAAAGGTGAAACTAATATATGAGACTCATTACATGTAAAGCAAGATAGTTCAAGCTGTGATTTGTTTTATTTGTGATGATTAAAGCTTACAGCTCATGAAAACCCCAAATCCACAATCTCAGAAAATTAGAATATTGTGAAAAGGTGCAATATTCTCGGCTCAAAGTGTCCCACTCTAATCAGCTAATTAAGCCATAACACCTGCAAAGGGTTCCTGAGCATTTAAATGGTCTCCCAGTCTGGTTCAGTAGGAATCACAATCATGGGAAAGACTGCTGACCTGACAGTTCTGCAGAAAACCATCATTGACACTCTCCATAAGGAGGGAAAGCCTCAAAAGGCAATTGCAAAAGAAGTTGGATATTCCCAAAGTGCTGTATCAAAGCACATTAATAGAAAGTTATGTGGAAGGGAAAAGTGTGGAAGAAAAAGGTGCACAAGCAGCAGGGATGACCGCAGCCTGGAGAGGATTGTCAGGAAAAAGCCATTCAAAAGTGTTGGGGACTTTCACAAAGAGTGGACTGAGGCTGGAGTCAGTGCATCAAGAGCCACCACACACAGACGGATCCTGGACATGGGCTTCAAATGTCGTATTCCTCTTGTCAAGCAGCTCCTGAACAACAAACAACATCAGAAGCGTCTTACCTGAGCTAAAGAAAAACAGACCTGGTCTGTTGCTTAGTGGTCCAAAGTCCTCTTTTCTGATGAGAGCAACTTTTGCATCTCATTTGGAGAGCAACTTTTGCATCTCATTTGGAAACCAAGGACCCAGAGTATGGAGGAAGAATGGAGAGGCACACACTGCAAGATGCTTGAAGTCCAGTGTGAAGTTTCCACAGTCTGTGTTGATTTGGGGAGCCATGTCATCTGCTGGTGTTGGTCCACTGTGCTTCATTAAGTCCAGGGTCAACGCAGCCGTCTACCAGGAGATTTTGGAGCACTTCATGCTTCCTTCCACAGACTAGCTTTATGGGGATGCTGACTTCATTTTCCAGCAGGACTTGGCACCTGCCCACACTGCCAAAAGCACCAAAACCTGTTTCAGTGACCATGGGATTACTGTGCTTGACTGGCCAGCAAACTTGCCTGACTTGAACCCCATAGAGAATCTATGGGGCATTGCCAAGAGAAAGATGAGAGACACGAGACCGAACAATGCAGAAGAGCTGAAGGCCGCTATTGAAGCATCCTGGTCTTCCATAACACCTCAGCAGTGCCACAGGCTGATAGCTTCCATGCCACGCCGCATTGAGGCAGTAATTGCTGCAAAAGGGGCCCAAACCAAGTACTGAGTACATATGCATGCTTATACTTTTCAAAGGTCCGATATTGTTCTATGTACAATCCTTGTTTTATTGATTGTATGTAATATTCTAATTTTCTGAGATTGTGGATTTGGGGTTTTCATGAGCTATAAGCCATAATCATCACAATTATGACAAATCACGGCTTGAACTATCTTGCTTTGCATGTAATGAGTCTATCTCATATATTAGTTTCACCTTTTATGTTGCATTACTGAAATAAATGAACCTTTGCACGATATTCTAATTTTTCAAGTTTCACCTGTACATGTAGTTTTCTTCCAGAAGACCCAAATCTCCAGATACTCAACAAGCAACAATGAGAATGGAGAAAAGCTTTGGCTCTGCGAAGCCATTTGGAAGTCTGCATATTAAGTGGTTGTAAAGGTGAAATATATATATATTTTTTTTTTACCTTAATTCATTTTCTGCATTAAGGTAAAAAGAAACTTCTGTACACAAGATTTCCTCCCCCCCCCCCCCCCCCCCCATCATCACCACCAGTAAACTTACCAGAGCCCGATCTCAATCCCGCACTGTGCCCAGTATCTCTGCTCTCTCTTCCCCCTCACTGGTTGGGGAGGCAGCAGTGGGAGCCATTGGCTTCTGCTGCTGTTAGTAACAGTCTGTGAGAAAAGAGCAGAGGGTGGGGCCAAGCCACACTGTGTGTACCTATGCCCACACAAGTGCCACCATAGCAAGCAATTGCTTGCTATGGGGGCACTTGGCAGGGGGAGGAGCCAGGATTGCCACCAGGGAAACCCAGAAAAGGAGGATCAGGGATGCTCTGTCCAAAACCATTACACAGAGCGGGTAAGTATAACATGTTTGTTATTTAAAAATATATACAGTATATGTTTACAATCACTTTAAGTTATGTTCTTGTAACCAATAGTGAGCAACACTACACCAGGTGGAATGAAGTTAGGCCACAGCTTTGATTCTGGAGCTGCATGCTTGCATTTGAAATGAATCGCCGTGGAACAACTCTATTCTTAAAGCTGGCCATGGACTGTTCGAATTCCTGCTGAACCAGCTGAGATTCGAACCACGTACGGGCAGGCTGAATGTACCCAAGTGATCGATTAACCAGCCTGCCAGATTTCACATGCAATTATTGTTGGCGGCTGTTATACCACTAGCAATAATCACTTTCTTCTCACGGCAGGGACCGCTTCCCCCACCAGGAGAACACAATGGCTCGACTGGAGGGATTCCCCTGTCAACATGGCCTAAGTTTTTTAAAGCCATTGTATACCAGAATGTAATATTGTATGTAACTTTTAATAACAAGGTCAAGACATTTGTTTTGTATGGATTTACATGATGTTGGCAATACAAAAGCAATAAACACAAAAAATCGTACCCAGGGTTTCAGGTTGCTGAGTGTTTTGGAAGAAAAATAAAGGTACATTTGTAGGCACATCATGTTTGCTGTCACTTTTACACTTTTTAAATTCACTGCAGTTTGCTAAAGTTTGTTAACTCAGTGTTATAGCATTGTTTTAGCTTGTAGTTGCTCAACCTAGCAGTGGCAAATATTTTGAAAAAAAAAAAAAGTAAAAATAAAATTCTTTAAAAATCTAACTCCATATCGGTGATACATTTGCA